GAAGATCTAAATAGATCAAACACAACCAGACTTTTTATTTGGGACAAAACTAATCGATTAAACTTTCTCATAGATAGTGGTGCGGACGTCAGCGTAATTCCTCGAACCAATTTTAATAAAAGGAAAAAAGATGATCATTTTCTTACTTCAGCCAGTGGTAATGCTATTTCTACGTATGGTAAAACTTTTATTAAAGTAGATTTGAGTTTGAGAAGAAATTTTCCTTTTAATTTCATTATTGCAGACGTAAATAAACCAATCATAGGTGCGGATTTTTTAACGCTATCTGATTTATTAATCGATTTAAAAAACAAACGTTTGGTTGATAATCTAACTAATGTTATTTCAGTTGGAAAAACAAATAAAATTAACATTTTAGATTCACCAAAACTTTTTGCAGTTGAAAATAAGTATACCAAAATTTTTAAGAAGTACCCTTATATTTTTTCATCTCCGAATTTTAAGCTTGATCGTAAACATAACGTCAAACATCATATAGTAACTGAAGGTCATTTACCAAATTGCAAACCTAGAAGATTGAACCCAAGTAAATACAAAATAGCAAAAAAAGAATTTGAACAAATGGTTGAATTAGGGATTTGTAGACCATCTAATTCTTCTGTAGTATCTCCTCTCCATATGGTTCCTAAGGGTAACTATGGGGAATGGAGACCTTGTGGTGATTATAGACAATTAAATAATGTAACAGTTCCTGAAAGATATCCACTACCTTATATTTCTGATCTCAATTTAGGAATTCATGGTTGCAAAATTTTTTCAAAAATAGACATTGTCAGAGCTTATCACCAAATACCTATCGCTGAGGAAGATATTTTTAAGACCGCCATTACTACTCCATTTGGAGCCTTCGAGTTTCTAATGACTCCTTTTGGCTTGCGTAATGCTGGAAACAGTTTTCAAAAATTCATTCACGAAATTTTGAACGGTTTAGATTTTGTTTTCGTGTATATAGATGATATCCTCATTTTTAGCAAAGATGAAGATGAACATCTGAAACATTTAGATATCCTTCTTGCAAGACTTAATTCTTACGGAATTAATATTAAACCTTCGAAATGCATTTTCGGTGTCGATAAATTGACATTTTTAGGTTTTGACATTTCAGTTGAAGGTATCTCACCTTCGCATGAAAAAGTTAAAACGATCATAGAATATGGAAAACCCAAATCATTAAAAGAATTACAACGATTTGTAGGCATGGTTAATTTCTATCACAGATTCGTTAAAAATTTCGCATTATTATTAAGTCCTTTACATGACTTTATTAATCACCTTAATTCAAATAAAATCAAAATTTTTGAGGATTGGCCTAAAAAATGTGAAGATAGTTTTAACGAAGCCAAAAAAGCGCTTGTTAAAGCTACCCTTTTAGCTCATCCTAAAGATAATGCGCATCTATCAGTGACTACTGACGCGAGCCAAACAGCTATTGGTGCTGTCTTAGAACAAATAGTTGACGGATCAAGACAACCAATAGCATTCTTTTCAAAAAAACTTTCTAAAACCCAACAGAACTACTCAACTTTTGACAGAGAATTATTTGCGATATATAAAACATTACGTCATTTTAAACATATGTTAGAAGGTTCTGTCTTTGATGTTTATACCGATCACAAACCGATCGAAAAAGCTATTGTGTCAAAGACAGAAAAGTCACCTAGACAATTTCGTTATTTAGAATATATTTTGCAATTTACCAAAAATATTTTTTATGTAGGTAGCGATAATGTTCTCGTCGCTGATTTTCTCAGTAGGATAGACGAGGCAGATATCGTTTCGCTTGAAATTAAAGATTATGACCTTGTTGAAATAAGTCAAAAACAAGATGTTGATTTAGAATTAAAAAATTTAATTGAAAAACAAAATTCCATTAATGCAAACAAACATTTCAAGCTACAATATATAACAGTAGAATCCCCAAAGACCAACATCTGGTGCGAAGTAAGTCATGGCAAAAATAGACCTTATATCCCAAAAGAGTTACGTTATATCGTTTATTTAAAAATGCATAACATCGCTCACCTGGGTTCTACAGCATCTATTAAATTAATCAGGTCTAGATTTTTTTGGCCAAGGATGAGTAAAGACATCAGAATCTGGGTTAAAGCTTGTCTTAATTGCCAAAGAGCAAAAGTAGTTAAACACACCAAAAGTCCTATTGGACAATTCGATCCTCCAAAAGGGAGATTCGAACATATTCACTTAGACCTTGTGGGTCCTTTAAAAATGTCAGAGGGATGCAATTATTTGCTTACCATTATCGACAGAGCTACTAGATGGGTAGAAGCGTACCCTCTTAAAAATATTTCTTCGGAAAATATAATCAACAAAATTCTTAATAATTTCATTTCTAGATTTGGAGTTCCATGTAAAATAACTCATGATCAAGGAGCGCAATTCGAATCCCATCTGTTTAAAGAATTTAGTAAACGGTTAGGTTTTAATAGTATACATACGACAACTTATCATCCGCAAAGTAACGGAATTATTGAACGATTCCATAGATCTTTAAAAAGTGCTTTGATGGCTAAATTAAACAATAATAATTGGTCTGAACAATTACCTTTAATTTTACTGGGTTTAAGATCAGCTTTCAAGGAAGATTTACAATGTTCCTCTGCGGATTTAGTATATGGTCAATCTTTACGTTTACCAGGTGAATTTTTCACTAATTTGAACGAAAATATTGATACTCACGCTTTACTAATCAGATTACGTGAAAACTTTAATAATTTTAGACCTGCTCCGGTAACTAAACACGTCAACGAAAAAATTTTTGTTTCACCTGATTTAAAGACAACTGATTTTGTTTTTATGAAAATTTCAGGTTTAAAACCACCGTTGACCCCTCCTTACGAGGGTCCATTTAAAGTTTTAAATCGAACAGACAAAGTTTTTACAATTTTAAAAAATAATGTGGAATTAGTTGTTAATATTGATAAACTAAAGCCTGCTTTTGTGTTATCGGATTATCCATGTTCAGAGGATAATCCAATCATCAAACCCAAAAAGAAAGTTTCATTTGTTTTAAATTGATTTTCATATTTTTTATACATATAAAAAAAAAAAAAAAAAGGGGAAGTGATGTAGTGTTTTTGTTTCACTTTTTACTCATCCCGTATTATATTATGACAGTTAGTTAGTTTTGTCGTAACCTCTACTGCGCATCTTAGGCACATATAAAAGAAGGACAAAGGAATAGAAAAGGATGTAACGATTCCGGAGCATTCCGGGTTTTTCAGTTGTTTCCAGGAGAACAAGATTGCTGTGACAACAAGTAACAACATGAGAGAAGAAAAAAGAATAATATAAAAAGTCAGATACCTTATAAAAACATAAAATACAAAAATAAATAATAATTCTACATTTTAACTATAACGATTTATTTATAACTTGGTAGAGATTCGGCTGTCTCCGTATTAATAATCGCCGAAATCTACAAAAAGATGTAGGTATTTTAGTTATGTTATAATAGAAATATATGATACATTGTATTGACTGACCTACTGGCCACTGGTCATTCCACTTTTACTCCCTTTTTTCATAAATTATCAAATTATTTAAAAACAAATACATACCTAGCTATTTTCTGTAAATTACATTAAAAATGTAAAAAACGTATTTCTCATCTATTAAATTGTTGTTAACGATAAAGAATACTTTTAATTTATTAAAACAAAAATAAAACCTGACTCGATAATTTAAATCAGCGAAAATAAGTTGCTTGAGATGTGGTCGTTTTCATCGAAAATTTTACTAATAAAACTTCAGTTAATTTATCTTATATGTATATACACAACGGAAGAGTTAATTGGATTTTCTCCTTGTTGAGTTTCAAAAGTAATTTAACATGATTTAAAAACAAATACATGAAATGGGCAAAATAGGCCTGCAACGGCACTTTGTAAACAATCTCACTTGTATCGATGTGACGTAATGCGCGAATTCAATCTGGCTTACTTTTGTTAATAGATTGGCGTTTCATTTTAAATATACAGTTCACTGGGAATAGATTATTTAAATATACACGGACCGGGAAAACAAGTACGAAAAAAATTTACTGGCTCCTGGACTAGTACTGTATCGAAGGAATTTTATGAATGAAACAATATACGACCCTTCACAATTGCGGTCTACTCTAGATCCGCTGTTGTCAGACGTTATTTTTTTTTGGACAATTTAAAGACCTAACAGTATTTCAAGCAAACACAATAACATTACTACAGTTAAAAACATCGCAAACTTGGCATCTATATTTTAATTTTATCCAAATAATGCATTTCTGTCGAGGATCATCCGCGTTGACTTCAGAAATTGTGTAATCTGTCTTGGTTATATATATCTATAGTTAAAAGCACGTAAACTTGGCATCAATGTTCAATCCGATTATTGGGTTTCTACCGCGGACACCACCGTTCATTCTTCAAAAATTTTGTAAATGATCCTATCTGTCTTGGTTATATATCTATGGGTGTGTACGTTTACACAATTAATTTTTTCATGGGTGGTGCGTGCGTTTACACATTACACCAATGAATTGTTAGTACATTTACGTAATGTTTCAGAGAAAATATAGTACCTAATTTAATATTAATTTCTACGCATTTTAAACTGAAAAATATCTATGTTTAAATCTCACAGTGTAGGGAAGCGATGCTTCCCCCGTTTCCATGGACCGCACGCCCCTGCGAAGAGCCCTTGTTATATCTTATACGGATGTCTTAGTCGAGCAATGTGTTTTCTGAAATGAGAGTTGCCTCAACATATTAGAAAATAAAAACGAGATTAGTTAACAAATAATTTCAATCTAAGTAATATTAGTTAGCTACAATGAACATTTTTTAAAATAATTTGTCTAAATAAAATTCACTTCATACTTTAGTATTGAATTTTCAATAGCGCCTATACGGTTGTTCAAGGAGGATTTATATTTATTTCTTCTCTTGTTTGAATAAAAATAATAACAAAAAATGTTTTACCTGTACAAGAAGTGGATAATTGCTCCTATCTCTAGATTTTCCACCATCTCTAAAGGATGGATACTCCCAATCAAGATCCAATCCATCGAAATGGTTCAGTCTTAAAAATTTAATGGCATTTTTAGCAAATTCTTTTCGTTTCTCTCGACTGGCTACCATTGGAGAAAATCGAGTCGATCCTTCGTTCCAACCACCGATAGCTAGTAGAGTTTTTAGGTCCTTGTTATATGTTTTCAATCCAGTAAATTTGGCATAACCACCTAAATAGGAAATAGTTATTAGAAAACAATTGATCATTTGGAGCATTTAAAATAATATAATGAATGTCTATTGTACACAAATGTTTTTTTCTAATTTTGACATTTTTTTGTAATCGCAGCAAGTGTCAAAAAGATTTAATTTATGTAAACCATTATTTCACTAGTTGTGAAAAGAAATAAATAAGCTTTTTTGATTTTAAAAGTTCAAATCGAAGAAAGTATGGTAGGCTTTATAAAAATAGATTTTTTTAGTGAACTTACAACAGAGAAGAAATATGTTTTTGTCCCCATTATCCATTCTAAATCTGCACCAAATAATCAAAACACTAATTCACTCAATAAATGACAAAATATCCCACTTTTTCGAAAACTAAAAAATAATGAGCAAGATAAATATCCTACATCAAGTGATTGAGAATAAGGGGTCTATTCAGTAACTCTGAACGACGTCGTTAATAGACGATAATCGTTCACAGACGACTTTTCTTATTCAGTAGACAACGATTGTCGTTGACAATAGATAAATATGGTTGTAAAATTGTCGTTCATCAACGATAGCTAAAGAGCTGTCGTTAATAATATGAAGTGTCGTTATAGAGATTTTTGCATTCCCTCTCATTTTTTATTGTGAATCAGGATGTGTTCTAAATAATAAAAGCACTTTTTTACAAATTTTACAACTAAATTGCCATCTACCTAATACAGCAAGTACAATTTGTAAGGAATAATACTTCTCCGTAACCTACACAGAAAACGAGGCTAATGGCCTGAGTTGTCGAAGCCGATGACATAAACAGAAAAGATAATCAGGAAAAAGGATATCAAATTTGGCTTGTCTTTTAAATCCAATAAATACAACTTGTACTCTTCTCGAGTTGTTTTTTTGTATTCTTTTGGAATAATTCTCGTTTTTTTTTTAATATATCCATACTCATTTAAATAAACCCTACATACAATACGACCAGCAAAAATGGCCCGCGAGAAACAGAATTCCTACGAATCGAGAATCGACCCCCTCATCGTGTTGTAGGTTAAGAACAATAATTAATATATTCTGAAAAAAATGAATATATCACTAATAGAATTTTTATTTTACGTTCCAAAAAAATGTAAAATATACCGGGTGTTCAAATTAAAGGGTTACAGTTAAATACCGCCTTTTATAAAAAAAAAACAAAGTTTTATAGTTTTTTGGGGAAAACATTTTGGCTAAAATTGTTTTTTTTATAGCAAACCATAATATGGCCAACTTTTTTTCGCGCAGCAAAATTTTCAAGTAGGTATTACTCAATAAGTAGAAATCCAATAAAAAAAAATACCTATGTAAAAAAATAGGGTTCCAATTTAAAAAAAAACCACCTCGATATGGCCATATTATGGTTAGCTATAAAAAAATTAATTTAGCCAAAATGTTTCCCCTAAAAAACTATAAAACTTTTGTCTGGTACTTTTTTTTATAAAATGCATATTCTTGGCGATATTTAACTGTGAAACTTTAATTTAAACACCCGGTATAATCATCAACATACGTTATTTTATCACAAAACACTAAATTATAATACCAACTTACTAGAAATCATCGTTCAGATTTGGTAACTAGAAACAACGTAACGACTTTGTTATTGAATAGAGTTTCAAAAATTATCGTTATAAAAGTCGTTGGTTGAACTGTCGTTAGCTTAACGATGTCGTCCATAAACGATAAATTACAGAATAGGGCCCTAAATTACATGATTTTCTATTTTTCTAAATATACCAATAAAATAAAATGGAGTTATGCAACTAATAATGCATGAAAGTAATATTGGCTGCATACACAGAAAAAAATTATCATTTACATTCAAGAAAAGCTTTACACTTGGAAGATTACATTTTTGTTTGAAATAAAGCAAAGTTTGCTTCAAATAATATTTCTCGATACAATAAGAAAATAAATGTTGAGTGAAATGTAGGCATAATCTTGTATTTTAAGATTTATAATAATTAATCTGAGAACAAATTATTTCATTCGATATTATAATTGTTAATTAATCCAAGAAAGCTTTTACGTTTATTGTAAGAATGATATGCTCTTAAAACCGACTATGGCCTACTTGATTCAATGTTATAAAAGGATTCGATTCAAAGCATTTAAATTTCAGAACAAGAAAAGAACTAAACAATTCGAATCAAAAACCTATGTACTTCACAAAAGATTAGCTAGTTAAAATTCACTGCACGGTGTTGCCAACTGAAACTTATTTTAAAACCACTGCACTGGTACGGTAGATATATGACTGGTACATGTTGAGATGTGATACTTATTATTTGGAAGTCAGAGACACAACGCATTTATAGAGAATCTGGCAAATTAGCATTATCACGTGTTCATCCTATTGCCCATTTTCTAACAAGTTTGCGTCGTATCGTTAGGGTTGCATTATACTTTTTGTTAGAAATTCTTTGTGATTCAATTAATAAGTGCATGAACAAATTAAATTGAAATGGAAGATTTATTAGATGGATGGGGCCTCAGCGACCTGATACCAATATTTAAATGTAAATATATTTAGTTCACTTCTTGCTAGGTATTATATTATATATGTTAGTAAATTTATAATCATAAGAACATGAAACAAACTGGAATAGAAGTAAAAAAAAATGTATGATGCTGGATGACGACTTTTTGGAAAGACGACTTCTGCCTTGCTAAGACAAGAGGTCGTATCTACGAAAATTCTGATTTCAATATTTTTACAAATTTAATAAGCTTACATTTTATTTTATTATGACACAAAATAATAAAGGCCTATTTGCATTGGAAAATGTTTATTATAATTATTATAAGAAAAGGTTAGTAAAATATACAAAACTTATTTGCGAAGTCTAAAAGGACGTAATTATCTACCTACCCACATTTACTAAAAATATTCATTTTGTAGATACGACCTATTATCTTAACATGACAAACTTTTATGTTCCATTTAGGTTTTGTAGTTATAAAATTATTTTTCTTTAAATATAGGTGGAAGACCTTAGAGGACAGAGAAATTTCATACATTAACTAAAAATAATTTTGAAAAATGTTTTTCGGTATATAGGTAGATGTGAGAACCCTATTAAAAAGCAAGAACAGCCTGTTCTTATTTCAAGATTATTAATTTATTCAATGAAACTATGCTATAATTAAACCAAAATCAATATATTTATGTCAAAGCCAATATTAACATTTCTTGGAACAGTTCATATTATTATTGTAACAAATTTAGTTGAAGGAGGTCCTTTCGCCACCAATGTTAAATAAAAAATATTAGATTATGACTAAAATTAATCTTTTCACAAAATCACAAAAAAAATTTCAACTAGGTTACTTGAAAATTTTTTGTGATTTTTTAATATTAATTTCTCAATAAGTTCCACGGTTTACTATATATATTTTATTGTATAAAACAAAATCTAAATATTTCAAAAACCTTATTTTTAGTTTTTTCCTCCTCCATCTAATCAATAAATAATAGTATAATTCGAGAATTGTGAGGCACTGTACAAATACATTAAAAAAAAATTCTCAAAAATTTGCAAGGTAAGGTATAGTTAAAAGTTCAGTATTAGATAAATAAGGACTTCAACTATTAGAAAAAAATTAATTTAAGGCGAGAGGTGTGGCGAAAGGACCTCCTTAAGAACAAGGTATTATTGAATATAAATAAAGTATATTTAAAAAAAGTGTAAGACTATTTCTTTTAAGATGTACATAATACTTCAATTGAGCAATAGATACTCTTCATTTAATTAGAGGTATTTTAGTTGGGTTAAGTTGATTTTAATCTTGAAGCAAGGCTTATTAGCTATTGAAAAAGTATTACTAGAATTTCAAATCAAGACGAGTTTTACTTGCGGATATAGAAACACAACAAAGCATTGAAATAAGACCATTCATCTTGAATATAGTACGTGTACGAATCTACCCCTTTTATGTCAATACATTTCCAAATTTTGTTTACAGAACTATGGTTCGAAAGTATGAAAAAAAGGGTACAAGAAATAGTGAAGTGGATGAAGAGTCAGTGTCCTTAGCCATACATGAAGTAATGGAAGGCTAGTTGTCTTACAGGAAAGCAGCAGATAAATATAATATTAAGGCAACAATCCTACAAAGTCGCATAAAAAAAATTAGAAGTAAACTTGATGTAGATGAAAATACACAACGCACCTTCAATTCAAAATATACATCAACACAAGTATTTTCCAAAGAAGAGGAATCTCTTTTAAATGAATATATTGTGATATGCTCAAAAAAGCATTATGGGTTAACATTAACACAAGTCAGGAAATTGGCTTACGAGTTTGCAACAGCCAATAATATTGCACATCCATCAAGTTGGGACCAGAATAAGATGATGGGAAAAGATTGGGTGCATGGTTTTCGGACACGCAATGAAAATTTAAGTTTAAGAAAGACAAAGAACACGAGTGCTGCCAGGTCCTTTGGTTTTAATAAAAAAGCTGTGAACGAATTCTACAAAAATATAGAATCACTTTACAATAAATATAAATTTTAACGATTAGCATGTAAATAATCCTTGTAAAACGCTTAATATATACAATATTCCAAAACTAGCGAAAATAGCTTATTTTGAATCATTCACTGGCGTTTAGTGATGAGGATTTTGCCCCAGTTCAAATCTATCAGTCTGCTGAATCTACTTCAGATACCAAAGATATTTCTCTCACTGTGGATCAAACCACTGATATTTCCATTCAAGATGTCCCTCCAACACCAATAAATTGCCTAGAAACCTTAAATGAGCTAACACTTCAATTAATAGAAACTCCACTAACACCATAACTAGCCAAAGCCTCTACCTCTAAGTTAATAACTCCAGAAATGGTTCGTCCATATCCCAAAATTGAAAAGAAGATTCAAACAAAGAAGGGAAGGCAACCGAGAAAGTCTCGCATATACACAGACACACCTGAAAAAGACAGAAGAGAGGAAATGGAAAAAAATAAAATGATGAAGAAAATGGAAAAAGAAAAGAAAAGAAAAGCTAAATAAAAAAAACGCGCTTTATCTTTTTTAAATGACACAGACATTGAAATATCAAAACTGAGTCATAAAAAAACAAAAACGGTCTCTGAGAGTAGCGATTCCGATGTTAGTATTAGTCTGCGAGAGAGTTCTACATTAAGTGTGGATGTTCCAGAAAATATAAGTGATTCAAAATTCATTTTAGTGAAGTTCGAAAAAAAGAAAAATGTTTTATACTATGTAGGACAGGTTCAAAGTCACTTCAGTGAGACAGAATACAAAGTTTCATTCTTAAGAAAAAAATCATCTTCATGAACATTTGTTTTTCCAACTGTAACGGATGATGGAATGGTTGACATTGCAGATATTGTATTAATACTACCAGATCCAATTTCATCTACTACTGCGAGAACCTCCAATATTTTCAATTTTTTGGTAGATTTAACCTCATTTAATGTTCAATAAATACTAATTATTATTATAATCATTTCTGATTTCATTGGAATGTAAATTTAAGTTTTATAGAAGTGCAATATGTTTTCTTTGTTATATTTATTATAGATATTTTTTTGTTAATATTATTTTTGGTTTTTTTGAGATTTTGTTCTTGAAACATTTGTACGAACCTACCCCATAGTGTACTAAAGTACCCCATATAATGTACGAAAGCGCCCCATTCAAGAGGTACATTCATACATTCCCCCATTTTTTTTTAAATTACCTCGAAGAAGTTGTATTTTGTTTTATCAACTTTTTTTGTCAATTGTACAAAGTTAAATGTATGTACCATAAATTGAATTAAAAAAAAAAAAAAACAAATATGTGATTTATCTCATGTCGGCATGAATGAGAACAATAACTGTACGAAGGGTGCCAACCTTCCCCTACATTTTAATATAAAATAAACAACTTACCTTTTTCTATATCTTGGTACTTATCAAAAGGTTTAAGGGTATTTTCTTTGGTAAATCCTCCAAATGCATATATGAGATGCGTACATAAATATGGGTTAATATTTTGAGGGCTAAATTTTCCATTTCCTGGTCTGTATACTGACCAATTGGTGTAGTAACAAACCACGCGCATCTCCTGCGAACCTGAAAAAAAAAAGAAAATTACATTATGTGGGTATGTATTTTAAAGCTAAATATTTAAATATAGCAATTTAAGCATTTAAGTCAAATCCATATTTAAATATTTAAAACGAAAAGAAATAAACTAATAAAAAAATATTATGCATGTATTATTAACTTTTTTTAAAATTACTTTTGTTTTCTCTTTTTCCTAGCTATAACTAATATGTATATACACAAATTTAATTCTGGTAGTGCAATTATTAACTATATCTATTGTTACTCTAATTTCTCTAATTTATTCTTGAATAAGAGTCAGATTGATTTGCAACTTCATTTTATCACCTTTCTGGCTCTATGGCCCAATGCTATAATTCAACGTTACAAAATAATCTTGTACAAAACATGAACAAACCATGAGATAATAAATTCGTAGAGTTTTATTACATGGAATTTGCCTATTGGGCAAACTTTTACTTATTGTCAGGTTTTTATAGAGTGTAGATCTCAATAAATAAATAATGCCGTTCTAAAGAATTATTAGCGTTGACTAGCAAGTATTAGATTCTAATTTAATCTGCTGTTTTCTCTATATACATTTTAATTGTATTACGAATATAATTTTCGAAAAGAACTGCAAGTGCAACATATGTCGATCTAGTTTACACTCCTTATTTCTTTGTTTTTCCCATTGTGAAAGTTTAATGGTAAAAGAAATTATAGCAAAATGTACCAATAAACTAGAATGACTCCTGCATTCTTTATTGGTAGATTGAAGCACAAGTCACCATATATTAAAAAAATATGTATATCTAGAACCATTAAGTAAGGTGTTCTTGAATTTGGCGGGAAAAGTTCAACATTGGGTAGAACTGTTCAAAACAACATTAGTAGTTAGATTTTTTTCGAAAATCGTCCAAAATCTTGACAAAGTATCGCAATATTATTTAAATATTGTAAATAATTGTTATTGTAAATGTTAAATTTTTATTTCATCTAAAAAAATGGTGGATGCACTAGTTTTTGTAATTTGAAAATATTGAAAACACTGGTATAATAAATGAATTTATAATTATTGAAAAATCGTTACTTTTATTTTTTTCTCATTTGTTTTTAATATAACAAATATTACAGTAACAAATGATAAAATTTAAGTAAAATAAGTTGATGCATATTAGACAGTTGCGGGGCTTGTCCTAAGTGGCCAAAGGTCTGCGGCACTAGCGCAAAATATCTAGATAAATAATCATTTTTTATTTTAGTTCAATAATTATTAGAATTGTCGGGTCAAATGGCTAAATATGCATATATAAATTATTTGTCATCATTATTATTATTATTACAAATAAATTAGGGCTGAGGAATGAATCCTTTTAAGCCCAAAATTACAAGTTTAATAACAAAGACAATTATTATATAAGTAATTAGCAAATAACAGAATGCAAACAAAGCACTAAAAATAAACTTTTAGTTTTCATTAAAAAAGTCATCGAGTCGGTTTTTGAATACATTTACTGACTGAGCGCGAACAACACTCGAGGGTAAATTATTCCAAGTATAGAAAACTCTGTTACAAAAAAAGTTTTGTCGGGTACGTGTTTTATACTGCTCAATTTATACTCATGTCCACGTAGGCGCTCATCTGTATTCCGTGGGAGTATACTATAGAGGTTGGATGAAAAAGTACCATGAAGAATTCTGTAAGTCACAATTAAATCACCTCTTAATCTTCTGTGGGAAAATAAACACAAACTCGCCATATTAAGCCGTTCTTCATACGATGGTCTGATTCTGCAGAAAGGCATTCGAGTAGCGTAGCGTTAAACATTTTCCAGTCTTTTTTGATCAGAAATCAGATCAGGACACCACGCAGGTCCGACATATTTCATCAACGGTCTAACGTAGGTTGTATAAAGTTTAGAAAATGTTTAAAAGTTCACACGCGTGAAGGACTTTTTTAATAGGTAAAGCATTGAGTTTGAACGTTTACATACCGCTGATATGTGCTCTGACCACGTTAATGAAGAGTTCACAATGAGTCCCAGGTCGTTATACGAGTTCACAGTTGCTAACGCACTACCGTTTAGATAATAGTTCACGCACGGATTATTTTTTTCTATATGCAGGACGACACATTTTTCCGCGTTTAAAGGAAGCAGCCAGGTCTCACACCAGTTTGAAATAGTTTCAAGGTCTTTTTGTAGCTGCGCAGAATCTGTCACAGAATTAGAGTATAGCTTAGTGTCATCAGCATAACACGAAATATTAGAATTTAAGTCTTTGCCTACATCTGCAGCGTATACCAAGAATAGTAATGGCCCTATGAAAGAGCCTTGAGAGACACCACTTAGAACTGGATACTCTGACGAGAACATCTGCCCAAATTTTACCTTGAAGATGCGATTTGACAAAAAATCACTTATCCAGAGAAGTAAAGAGCCGCGAATGCTAGCTTTTTCCAACTTATAAAGCAATCTCTTTTTTGGAACGCGGTCAAAGGCTTTAGCGAAATCAAGATATACGATATCGACAGGCTCTTTATTGTCCACAGACGTAGTCCAATCGTTTAAACAGGTCATTAGGTTTGTTAATGTAGATCGGCCTTTAATGAAACCGTGTTGTTCTCTTTGCAAGACGTCATGACTCTAGAGAAAATCAGACATATAATTAGTTAAGATGGATTCCATTATTTTACAGGCAATTGGGACGAGGCTTATTGGACGATAGTTGGATGGACTGAGTTTGTCACCCTTTTTAAAAATAGGTGTCACCGAAGCAATTTTCCACATTGAAGGAAGTGTGTGAGATGTAAAGGAAGATGTCATAATAATGGATAAGGGTAAAGCCAAATAAGATGCGCATTCTTTTAAAAGCATTGCGGATAAATTGTCAATTCCAGGTGATTGAATTTTTTTTGAGATTTTCATTAACAATTGCAGGTGAGAACTCGACATTACATAAAGAGGTTGCTGTTCGGGCATCGTGACTAACTGGGATGTCGCCAGTGGGTTCTAAGGAAAACACTTGTGAAAAATGGTTGGCCAGAGCTTTAGCTGTTTCTTGATCATTATTACATAAGTTTCCATCCGTTTTTTTAAGAAGCGGTACTGATACTTTGGAAGATAGAGAGATTCTTATGTGTTTAAATAGCTTCTTAGGGTTATCGCTACTAGCGATATATTCTTCGTATTCTCTTCTTGCGTTATCAATAACATTGATTAAATCGTTTGCGAAACGTCGATGCTTAACAAAATCATCATGTCTTTTGGTTGCTTTAAATTTTTTCCACATATTTTTCTTATGTTTTATTAAAGTTAAAAGTTGTCCATTGATCCAGGGTTTTAATTTGTTCTGAGGACATTTTTTGTTTTTTGTGTTAGCCTTCACAATTTCAGATATCTTTGTATGAAATAGTGTCCACATATCTTCTACTAATGCAGTACTTCTAAAAAAGTGATTCCAATCAATTTCGGAGAGGAATATCTTTACGTTATTAAAGTTTGTGACACTATAAGTTACGTCCCTATCGGGATTAGGGGTTTCTATGTTAAATTGCATATTAAATATAATAACGCCATGGTCAGATTTCCCAATAGGTGAGTGGACAGATGGAGAAATTAGAAGTTGGTCATCATTTGTTAATATAAGGTCTAGAGTTGAAGGTTCTTGATTTAACCGAAAGCGGGTAGGTTCGTTCATAAGTTGTTCAAGATTGGAGTCTATAATAAAATGTATAAAGTGTGAAACAGAGTTTTGCGATACTTCAAGACCTGCAGTAAGGGGCCAGGAAATTTCTGGATAGTTGAAATCCCCAACCACCACAAGATTGTCATGGGAAATAGATAGGTCTGAAAGTACCTCAAAAAGATGTTGATCGTTTTCTGGAGAAGTTTTCTTTGGAGGACGATATAAACATACCAGAGTATTTGTATGATAGTTTTAACAAAATTAAATCTATTATCTAATTTGTCCCGACGAAAAACTTTGCGTCGAGTTATTCCAAGACACAACAAATAATTCAAGTGACTATATTCCTTCCGAAAGTTCCGAGCCACATCTCTAATAGCCCGGCCGCTAGCTCCGAGCAATTACTACTAGAGGGAGTCTTCCCCCCTTCCCCGCGGTAAATTTTGTTAGCAACATCTACTCCCCCCGAGGGGGAAAATACCTCTTCTGTAATTGGCTTATTTAATCAGCGTTGCCAAGTTTGACAGCGCCAGTTCTGACACTTTCTGACACATGTCAATTTCTTATTTGTATTTTACGAAAAATATTATTATTTATAACGTTGTAAGGGTTGTAAATGTATATTTAAGATTTATTATCTCTAATAATATGGTGAAAACATGATTTATGTGTAAAAGGCCTATTGAAAATGCTTCTTCAAGATAATATCATAAGTAAGTACAGATACAACCTAATTATCAGAGGCGGTGCATTAGGCAATCACCTTTAATTTGCAATTAAACTTTCTTATTTTCTTATCGAAAAATTAAGATTAAGAGCAAGTAAACTCCAGCCAGTTCGTCTTCATCCGTCTCATAATGATAATAGTAAAGGTTAATTACTTATTATTATTATTATTTTAATATCACATCTTTGTAAAGTTTATTGTTATTTTTTTTAGGTTTCCTTTTCTTGATATGAGAAAGAAATACATGGTTCCAAAATATAGGAATTCAAAAAGTGACCACCTGAATAACTTTTTATTCTAATGAACATTTTTATTACAGACCTCAGTAGAGGAAAATATTAAAGAAAAATGCAATTTCGACAAAAGAAGTATAATAATCAATCCTGTCACTACTTTTTACACTATATTCATCTGCTACTAAAATACTAAAACACAAGTAAGTAGAGAAACTTAAGTTTCTTTCAAAAAGAATGTTTAAGGAAAAAGGTATAGCCATTTTTTTGTTGACACTTTTTTTTAACTAATCTAAAAGACTAATTTTGTGTATTGTTTAAATTTTCATTTCTTGTACTTAATTTGGTTTAGGTTTAAACAAAATGAACTTCTAAAA